AGCAGGATCATTTCACATTATTTCACACCTTGGGCAGTAACTGGACACTGTGGTTACCAGATGGTGAATACACTTCCCGGGTTCTCTTGGCACCAAATATTTTGGAATCCTCTTGTAAAAGTGCAGTCCGCTTTGCTTCCTTGTCCTTTGTTCCAAGTCCCCTATTTTTTATTTTTGGAAAGTGGGAAAGGTGAGTGAGAATTCATTAAAATACATTCTCTGGATGGGCAGCACAGCTCTGGGCAGATGATTTGAGATTTTATAGACTTGGATTTTACAGGGCCCAGTTAACATTCGACACTGTGACCCGGATCACAAACGAACAGCACACCATTCATGCTTGTGAAATAGTCACGTAAAATAGGCATAAAATACTCCAAAACCAAGCTAATTCAACATGTTTAATGATCACCTCCTTTATGAGAAAGTGGGATATTTTCCATCATAGCCACTACTTGAAATATCCTTTTAAAAAAGAAAAACAAAACAAAAAATATAAACATTAGCCTCCTTGACCGCGTCCAGACAAGCACGGCTGTGCAGTACGTGGCCTTGCAGCCATGTCTGTGGTGCCACATACTGCACGTTCAGTTGTTTTCTGCGCTGGAAGGAAGCAGCGTGGAGGGTTTTTTTGACCCCTGGATATCCAGGGGTCACAAACACCTGTGGAGAAAAAGGTAGAGCAAGCATGGGCAGCGCGCGCCACTCAAAAGCAGAACCAGGCCGCCCGGAGCTGCGCTACAGCTGCCAGCCAGGCTCCACGCAGCAGAATAGCTGCTGCTGCAGCCCCGGGAGGCCCCCAGGTCCCTGGGCAAGGCTGCTGGGGCCAGCACAGTGCTGGCCCCAGCCTTCCCTACCACACCCAAAGTAACTTGCTGTGCACCAGAAGGTGCGTGGCACAAGCAGCCCTCAGAGACAACTAGCAACTGTCCCGGGGAACCAAACATCCACACCACATGTGGACGCAGTCCCTCTGTCGACCCAAGAAAAGGGCTGGGATTCAGGGTACTTGGTTCATATTCTCCAATCTGCCACTGTCCTTGAGGCAATACCTTTATTTCTCTGTGTCCTGTCTCCATCTGCAAATAGGTATGATACTACCTACTTGAAATGAAGAAATTGTATAAAAGTGAAACAGTATTATCCTATTATTTTAGAGGATTTGAATCCCGTGACTATGAGTCCATGTCAATTAAAATGAAAACTCAATTTTAAAAAGATCCTAGGTTTCTACTTTTGCTCCTTGTCCCTCCCTCTTTTCTGGCCCAGCTTTTGCTTTTTTACAGGTGATGTTAGTGATCACCTACCTCACAAAATTCTTGTGATGTTTGGAAATTAAAAGTTTTGTCTGTTAATGTTAAATTGAGATGGAGGCTGTTTTTTCCTAGTAATATGCTATAAAACTGCTCTATGGGACTCTACCATACCTATACAAATTAAGCTCCATGGAACTTACCTATCTTTATAAAAATAAGAAAACAGCCCTTTTGGGCTCACTTCCAATTCATTTTTTTACCAGGATTTCCCCTTCCAATTATCATTTTTGACCAAAGTTAATGGTACCTTCTCTCCCTTTATCTCCATTACAATTATGGCATTTATGGACCTGAGTTAGTGTTCATTTCTGTAGGTTGGGTGTAAAGGTCAGCTCTTCACTATTTTAAAGTCTGGGACTTCTCGATGTTTGGCTTGCAGTTGGATTGCATCATAAAATGGTGTGACGTGTCAGAGGGGACAGCAGCAGCTTCAGAATTGGAGATGTCAGTGCTCTACTGCCAAAAGTTCATCAAAATAAATGTGAAATGTTTAGTTCACCCATCCTGAATGTCCTGAATGAGACACAGATGGATAAAATGTAGGAGGTACCTATTCAGGAAGGATTGCCTCATTGTCAAAAGCATAGAACAGAGAAATGAGAGAGGTGGATGGAGTTAACCTGGTGCAGATTTAATGAGCACCATATATTTACATGTATTTTCTGAAAAAACACACATGGAAGCTCTTTGTTAACATGTTGCTATACATATCTCCCAGCTAACTCTGACATAAATGTAAAGTCCAGTGCTGAGGGATTTCATGTGGGTTTATGATAATCTTTTCGGGAGCTTGATTAGATCGCAGTGCATTTTCTCAGGTTTGTAGGTGTTTTGCACATAGGAGCCTCTGTCATGTTCTAAGGACAGAAGGTGATATGTGCAAACCCTGTTTGGGGTTTGCTTGAATAAGGATTAAGTGGTAAATTTTTCAGTCCAAATCCTTTCAAGATTGTTTCTTGCTGTGTAGGGGCCCAAAACATCTTCCCCTTACAGGCAGAAGCAGGGAATAGAGGGTCTGTGACATGCTCCACTCTTCTCTAGAAAGCATCTCTGTACAGTGCTGTGGCAAGGA